TATTTATTGATCGATCGCAGTACAGTGACACGGAAAACACGTACGGACGACCTAGAGTCTCTATTGGTCCCACTTCCCTGTCTAGCCCAGTCAGTTGAGTCCAGAACACAAGTCACAGCCTCGGAGATATGAATCATTTATTTCAAACATACTTTGTTTATATACCAATCAAGCACACCACATCGTACCATAAAATAGGAACAACATTTACAAAATTTAACAAGTGAAAAAAATCGACCAATAAGAAATGTACATTTAAAGTCCAAGGACACCACTGGACTTAACATGATAATCATTGGTCTATTCTTCCGCATCCACAACAGTTACATTTAAAATTTAATGTAAACTAATGAAATAAAGTTAGTCTCAATTAGGAACCAATCTCATTTGAAAAACACGTTACAAATGTGTTTCATTCCAGTGTGTCGATGAGTTCAACACGAGATCTTGTCCAAAAAGGAAGTGATTTTGTTACCAAAATGATGATAGTGGATATTTATACAACAAACTGTATTTATTCTAACGAAATAAAAGCTTTTAGAAGCAGTTTTCACCAATTCTGAATAAAGTATCTCCATAATTGGATTGACGAGTCGATCGAAGCTAGGCCACCATTGAAAAGCTGGAGGCACTGGATGGCCGTTTCGTGCACGTATGGGACTCCTCAACAGCGCGCATCCACAATCTTTCACACGGGACTGGAACCCAGGACCTTCAGTCACGCACACGAATGCTTAACCTCTAGACCACTGAGTCCAATCCGTGTCTGGTGTGAAAAGGTTATTCACCCCAGACGATGGATGAAGGGTTGCACGAGATCATGGATCGAATGAAGTTAGACATTAACGTCGTTAGATGCCGGCTCGGTGGTCTAAGAGTTAAGCGTTTCCACACAAGATCGAATGTCCAGGGTTCGAGCTTCGCGTGAGGGATCGTGGATGCACACTGCTGAGGAGTTCCATACTAGGAAGAGACGGCCATCCATTGCCTCCAAATCTGCAATGGTGGTCTAGCTTAAACCGACTCATGAATTCAACTGTGAAAATACTACAATCTCCACAAATCCCCATGTGAATAAAATATACTCAAAAGGTCTGCGATTTCCGACATGAATTTCGTAGGTCTTTCATCAATCAACCATTGAAATTATGACATGAGTATCAAGCATATTTACCACCCGCCAAAACAACTTTAACATCAGAGATTCAGTTTATCTGCTTAATTTCAGAAAAGCAATCAGCTTATCTACTTAGTTAAACAGTAGTATGTATAACAAGGACACACAAAAATTCTCAATAATTTGCGAAGTTGCTATTACTTGCACAGTGAACCATGCTTCTGAGCTGTTTTACACAAAGATTACCACAAAACGTTTGCAAATTAATTCAGATATTCTAAATTTTATTATTCTAAAATTCAAGCACACTAAATTATTTTATGTTACCTGGTAGGACCAACTGTCAATGTAACCTAATACTATTAACAATTGACCTAGTGATATATATTGCTCATATATAATAATTCGATATAATATCTGGTTTATTTTTGATATAACCTTTCACAAAACACTAATTAGAAAGACAAATAACTTTAATTAATTTTCACTCAAGGTCATAATTCAATTAAACAACACGCGGAATGGATTTAAAAGCTTGACTGGCTTTTTTCTAGTCAAGTCCTAATTTATAACTTCAAAACACGACTTTTACAGCTAGAAAATATTAGCAAATTGCCAGTACTTGAGCAGATTCCTTCGGAGCATTACTCGTAGATGTTGGGAGCACCGAGTGCTAGACGAAAGTGATAAATCGGTTATTGAGTCTTCTTAGACCGAGGTATTTGGGATGTGTATTACGTATGACCAACAACCACTTACATTGAACTATGATATTTTCTGGTGTAGTAGTAGTCTGGAAAAAAGCAAGCAGAGGGCTAAGACGAGGCATTAGTCCATGAGGACGTTAATCCTTAATTGAGATCATGAGCCGATCGATGTTAAACCATCATTGAGAACCTAAGAGCACTGGAAGACCGTTTCGTCCTAGTATACGACTCCTCAGTAATACATACACATGGTCCCCCGCGTAGGACTCGGACCCAGAATCTCCGGTCTCGAGCGCGAACACTTAATCTTTAGACTATTGAGCTAGGATACATCGGTGCTAATATCTACCTTCAACCAATCCACGATATTGCGCGACCATCTTCTGTTGTCTTCGATGAGTAAATGTATCACACTCGATATGGATTGAACTCCACTGGTCAAGGCTTCTCAATAGAATCCCAGGAAATCAATCTTGAAGCTAGTCGCTAGTGAGTACATGATTAATTGTTGAACCGAGCCATTATGTTAGGTGCAGAATAACTGGTTGTGGTTCATGTGATTATTGTAACTACTGGTTGAAAATGTAGGGTGATATGGTTCAGAATCGGTCGCAATGGTGCAGATACATACCTTTTTGTTTTCTTTAGGTTTTGAGTTTTGAATATATCTTGTAAATATCTATTTCATAAGTGCACTCATTATATATACGCTCCTCAGCATTGAACATTCACGATCCCGCCTCACGAGATTCGAACCCATGACTTATCAGTCTCGTGCGCGAGCGCTTATATTTTCGTATTTATTAAGTTGGAAATTCCAAATTTTTTAGATGTGATATCCAGAGAAATGAATATCAGTTAACGAATTTATTTAAATATAAAATTGACAATGTTAATTTGGGGAAATCGAGCTGTCAACACTTCAAACAAGGAAGAAATGATGCCATAGATTTTGAATGATCTTTAGCTATGCTACTAACTAATAAAAAGTAGTTAAAGTTACCATTCATTATTTTTATACATCTGTTCTACTACAGTGCCGTTTAATCACTATTTCGTGATGCATTATCTTAAGCACTATTATCAAAAATTATACTTGATAACTTCACCTAATATTTATTCTCAAACGATCTATCTACATTAAGATTCATACTTGAAGTGTGGATGTTAGATGTCGTTAGGTTAAATCGATTATATTTTGGTGTATGGGCGGGCTAATCAGGATCAAGAACGCAATTTTCAAGTTTTAAGGTGAAATTCGAATACCACTTATGATGACCTTTAAAAATGCATTTTTACTGCTGAAAACGTCTAAAGTGATAACAAAAAGAAGCTTTATAAACACTCAATGCTATCCCAGTAGGTTATATATGACAGGTGTATCGACATTATCTTTATATCCTGACCTCATAGAATTAATCCCAAAATAAATAGTAATCCAGCTGTATTAAGATTATGGAAGAAGCAATCAGACGACCCCCGAGCATTTTTGCACGAAATTCACCCTTAACTACAAAGCATGTTTCAAATATAGCTGACGTTAATGATAAAAACACTAACACCGAACCGCTTATCTCTATCCTAAATACTTGGTTATAACTAGGAACAGTGTGGGAACTCTTGGAAATATATCTAAATAATAGTAAGGGTTAGCGAAAAGGGATAATCTACGACTCTAAGAACTCATTTCTGCTATTGTTTCTTCAAGATGCAGACAAAATAGACTGTAGAGGACTTTAATAGATTCATTGTGTGTAGAACATGTTTGCACTTTATAACGTTATTGTTTTCTTTTCCATAAACTACTCATTTACACAAAGCTTTTTTGACTCGCTAAAAACTAGCTAGGAAATGATGGTGGTTATTTTACATTCTTCTCTATACTATAACAAATAAAAGTTCTCATTTTTGCTTGTCTTTAATGCTGCTACAACTTCTTGTACAAATATAGGGAACTATATTGACTTACACTATACTAAGTGGTCTAATTAGCTATTTGTATATAAAGAAATAGGCTGTAACTCAACCATAGAGATGCATGTACGTTGTAGTAGTCTTATATTATTTATAGTAAGCATACAGCTACGCAAGTTTTAAATTTACCATGATACATTTATATAACAAGCTTGCACAAGCGTTGTACAAATTAATGATGAGGCCAACTATTCATGTGAATAAAATAGGTGCTAATTAGTTATTTTGTACTTATTCACATGATTAATTATGAGGCTTTATCCATGTACAATTCCCTTATACGTGTTTATCTTATCTCACTAAATATTTTGACGATATAAAATGAGACTCGGTATAGTTTACTTGAATCCCAATAATGTTTGGGACTGCAATTGATCAGTCTCATATTGGCACATGTGCATACAGTGCGTACTACCTTAATTCATAAGCATTATACGCAAAGATAGATAGTGACTAGTAGTGGAATGCAGGACGCGTGTTTCATCCTATTTGGGACTCGTCAAGTGGATGTACCTGCATCTGAGTCGACATTCAATTTGGGACTCGACCCCAGTACCATTCGCTCCAAACGCCATCACGTTATCCACTTCGCTACTGCCTCCTGATAGCCACTTGCTCACTCGGTATTGTTTACTTGTATCTTCCCATTGATGTTCAGGACTGAAATTGATCAGTCTCTTATTGGCATATGTACACACTGTGCACAAGTAAGTGGCTATCAGGACTCAGTAGCTAAGTGAATAACGTGATGGCGTTTGAAGCGAACAGAAGTTGGTTCGAGTCTCAGATGCACGTATATCCAGTTGATGAGTCCCAAATAGGACGAAAAGCGCGCCCTGGATTCCACTGCTGATCACTATCTATCTTTGTTTAAAATGAGACTATTTATACAACGATGAATTGCTACATCAATCTGCATACATCACAAATGACCATCAAATCAATCCAGAAAACACTCCAGTTGACCACCAACCATATCAAACCATATATCATGTTGCTGCTCAACACACACACACACTTCTTACGCCTTTTAGGTCATACATAGATAGTCTGTTGGTTACAGTGTATCTACAATATATTTATCTATCCATCCCAAAAGAAACGTTTTTTATCAAACGTTCAATACCACGTTATCAGGTAAATTCAATCATAAAAAAAGGGGATGAATTCTGAAAAATAAACAACAACAAAATTAACCATGAATTTTAGAACAATTAGAATGAGGATAGATTTTAATCTCATTTTCAAATATATTTCATATATGAACTCAACATATCATATATGTGACTTGTCTTAAACAGAAACATAAAACATAAAAATTTGCACATATCACAAGAATTATATATGTATATAGTTGAAAGAAATTCAACATTGAAAAGTATAAAAATTAAATAAATAAATAATACTATCAAGATCTTTTATTCATCAATAGAATAGTCTATATAGAAAGTATTATTTAATAATTTATTAGTCAAATAATGAAAATGCAACAAACCAAGGTAGTTTATTATTTGTTTGTTTTAAGTATGAAATAAAAACAAACAAATGATAATAAAGAATTGTATGTAGAATAGAGAATTAGTTGAAAAGTAGTTAATGTTTAGTTCATAATCAAAATACTAATGACATTATCATATTGATTATATAAGTAATAAGAGAGAGGATAAGACAAAAAAAAACTACACATATATATTTTGTGTATAGTTGAGGAAAACAAAATAAAGAAGTGAAATGAAACAACAACTACGAGATCTTATGTTTTGTATTTATGGAGAAGTAATCAAGATGAATAAAAACAACAACAACAACAACAACAACGACTGATAATAAACAGGATTAATACAATGTGGATTACTGAATTTATGTTTGAGAGGAAGACCAAGAGAGAGAGAGAGATAAGAGAATGTACAAAATGTAGGGAGAATTATGTTGGATATGGCGCATTAAAAAAATCTAGAAAAGAAATGGAATACTAGAAGTAAATGGTAAAGAAAGAAATATGCCTAGAATTGATGATGAAAGAAAATGTAACCTGAACAAATAAATAGAATCAATCAATGGTTGTTGCATTAGTATCATTTATTTAGTGGTGGGGGTAATTGAATTTCATAAGACTTGATAGATGAAAACAGATTACTTGAACTACTTACAGGTAGGGAAATGTAATAAGTACAAATATTGAGAAGAGATGACAAATGATATACTTATGTATGTATAACAAACTAAACATTACATGAATCGTCCTTCAGAAAATGAATGATATAAATGACAACCACAACAAACAATTAACACAGAAAAAAAAACAAATGAAAAGGTAGTCAATAAATCATGATAAGAATCCTCTCTTTACGTGCACACACACACAGAGGGGAGGTGGTCAAGTTCCACTTAGTTTAAATATATGTATGGAGATTAATATGAGAATCATTACGATACAAATAATCAGTAGAGAAACATAACGACGTGAAATCATATACTAAATGAAAATAAAGTTGCAAAGGAAAAAAACACAACCCAAAACAGACAAAAACTGAAAATAATGTTAACGAAGAGAGATATGACTTTGAGAGGAGGTATCAAGTAGTAGTGTAGGCAGTAGATAATAAAACAAACAAACATACACATGCTTACATAAATACATGAAATTATCATTATTGTCAATGAGGTAAATGCGTAAAACCATAATCAGAAACTACGAGATTATATGATGAAGCCAACATTGAATGACGCCTAGGCAGAACCGGTCTAGGTATGATATATTTATCAATGGAATAAGAAGGAGGTGTGAACAAAGTTCGACAAGTTAGTGTAGATGATTTTTGATGCTTTTTTAAACGTTTTCTTGATTCATGTTGCATACGTAATTTAGTAGGAAATAAATTAGTTGAATTATTATTATTATTATTAGTGGTAGTATTGGTAGAATTTACAAATAATTGTTGTTCTCGTTCTTGTTCCTGTTCTTCAGTTAAATTAATCTTGACCACGTTATGATTAGCATTCTGTTCATAATGTCCGCCAACAGTTTGTTCAATAGTTTGTTGTTGTTGTTCAATTGTTGAACAATTATGATTCTTGTCATTGTTATTATTATTACTGACTTTTGAATTCAAGGTTTCCGAGTCCAATTGAACTGCTGCTGTTGTTTTTAGACAATGTGACGTATTATTATTACTATCATTATGATTACCAACTGATATTAAAGTTTTTGAATGATATGGACGCTAGATTATATAAGAAAGAAAATAATGTTAGTAAAACCATGAGATGAAAAATGAATACTTCTACTAATAATTAAAAAAAATAGTTTAGAATAATGAATTTGCTTTTATGATCATCTTATTGACTGAAATTGTAATAATCATGAAGAGAAATAATTAATACACATGATCGGATCTAATATGGTCAGATATACAGTATGTGTTTTGGTATACAAAAGATACTTCAAAAATTGTAATCCATTTAAATAATTTTAATCAAAACATTTAAAAATGATTGTAGTTTTATAATAAATGACAAGAAATCTTGCAAAGACAAATTTCTCAGGAATGAAAAAGGGTGTTTTGTATGACAACTTAAATATATATGAGAAAAAAATGAACTGCAACAAATGGCAAGGGGTGTATGTGTATGTTTTATGGATAATAAGATTGAGACATATATAATTTTGTGAAATAAAGCTTTATAATCTTAGTTCATACATTTATTGGAGAGATAACGTCAGTAAAATCCTCTTTGGGTATGCTGATGAAAAGTGTAATGCATACATGTTGTGTAACAGATTTCTTTTTCAGTGGTACTGTTGACCAGTATACATAAGTTTCCTAGATTTAGAAATTAATAAACCGAATATATATTTCTAGTAACTTGATATATAATTGAGTAATATTGAATAGTCGCTTCATTTTTCTATATGACACATACAGGCATAAGTATCTCATTAGGCAGAGAACAAAGAGGTCTTAACCTTAGCAATAAATATGTGTGAACATCCTGTGAACGGTTATTGAACTCAGTTTAAAAATGTTGGCATAGTACTGATATTCTGGATATGCGACGATTTATATAAGCGAATCAATGCCACATATATAACACCGTAGTCATCAATATTTCCATTCACTGCACTGATAAGAGAAAACTCAACAGACTATTACTGTGAAGATTACGCATTACTGGTGGTAAGATTAACAAAAAAAACTAGTCAACAAAATCGAAATTATTCTAATTAAAGGTGAAATGTGAAGTAATGCGTTTTAAATTGGAATATAGATCAAGCAAACAAACAAATGCTCATATTAACATTTCACAAAGTCAAGGAAGTTTTTCAACATTATAAAATTGGGATTTTCTTATTAGATGAAAATTATAGATGATGATTCTCGTAATAAATGAAACGATTGAAACAGTGTATACATAAATACTGTCAACCAACAGGATATTTCCCAACTGCACTAAATATTGATTCATGTACTCCGTGTTGAGTTGCAACATAATGTATGAGGCTCAGTGATACCATTTGATCACTCCAAACTAAATTAGGTGGAGCGACGACTCGGACCTGTGGTCTAATGATTGGAAGTAGAATACCTTAACTAATGACTCCCACTCCACCATTCTGCATTTAAGTAGAAATGACTGAAACACATGGAACAGTTGACTTTATACCAGTGAATATCTAAGCATATCCAGTTCAAGTTGAGATCACAGTATGAGACATTGAATAATCACATAAGGAAAATTCTTGTCAGTACAAAAAATGTTGAATGGCTGAAAAACGTCTTATTATTAGAAACAAAAAGGGATTATATTAATCGATTAAATTTAGTGTTATGATGAACGTATATACCATCAGACAAACATGTACAATAATTCGACAAGCTTGGAGCTTTTTCGCGTAGAATTTGGGGTCGGTCAAATAGTAAAGCTCTATTCAAAATCTCTGAAAAAAGTTAGTAACTGTTTCTCAAAGTTCTTATTACAGCCTTTTATTTTAAAAGTAAATTCAAAAACCTATGATATTTATCCTGTAATATTACGTAATAAACTGAGTAATAGGAATATTACACCAGTATCGTTTAGAAAGACTGAGTAAGTGTTAAAATCGACGTTATCTATAGTGTTTTATTTTAAAGTATTAAATCACTGTAATTATTAACTCCGTGAAATTGTTCACTTTATTACTGCTTCAATTAAAATAAACTTAAACTGTACATATCTATGTGAGGTGCTTAAAGGTAATCAGTAGGAAAGTCGAGATTGATGTTTCATACTAATTCGGATGCATTAGCAAGGCATAATTGTAGTCTTAAGAAAACTAGTAGTCCTCATAGGATTCAAACCCCAGTTAACAATTTTCATAATTAAAGACGTTACCACTGAAGTGTTAACAGTGCGACTAACCCTTTGAATGACCGAAATATTTCTATACCTAGTACATCCACAACCACTAAATATCAAAGCATAGTAAGTGTGATATCAGGTCACTTAATTGTGTGGTCACAAAGCAGTTGAATCGATAGAAACAGTGAACAAATAAAGACTCGAAATAGAAAACATCGGTTACTAAACAGTAATAAATGAATAGGTACTATTCATATTCTATCCCTACATCGGATTGGTCAGTTTCTAAAAAAAAACGAAACAAACATCTCTAATTAAAGTGATAACAGTCCACATTATGGAGTGATAAACTGGGAGAATCAGATACAGACTAAATGTTAAGTGGGAGATACTGATGAGTGCACACTATTAGTCAAGATTTGGATTAGCTTTTGGTGGAAACAATATGATAAATGGATTATACACATTCAGACATGAAGAAATAATACAATGTGATTTAAAGAAGAGTTTACTTTCGGTGAGTTCATTTCCAAAGTTGATAAATATTAAAGATCTTTTAGTGGCCCTAAATCTGACTCCAATTGGTGCGTATGAATGCTATTGAAATACACATGTCGTCAATCCTCGTATATAATGATCGACTTAAATCGCATTGGTGAATAACGGAATAAAATAAGTGAAATACGAGAATGGATGTTTGAATAGGTATGTTTTTTATACTCATTGATCTGGACAGACAATCAGAGGGACGAAGTGAAGAAAAGAGAGGCGAGATGCCGCGCAATGGTGTATGAGGCAACTCCATTTAATTAAGCATTAATCAATATTTATAGCCAGATAAAAATAGGTTACAAACATGTGATGAATAGGGTAAGAAGTGTACATACATACGCTAATATAAAAACAAGCAGGTTTGCTAAGTGAGTGGTTAACACACTATCAAAACGTGACTCAAGAAGAATGGATAAACTGGCCTGTCCAGAAGCTAGGATAAGTTATGTGGGCTTGACATAGTAACCGACACTACAATCGTAATAACCACGTTTTGAGTTTCTTAATAGGAATAACATTTTTGTGCGTTTGTTTATTTTACCTCTCTGTCACCATGTTCAAAGTAATAATGATAATAATATTGTCGGTAGATGAAGTATTGATTATCATTTTGAGATATAAGTACATAGTTGATACTGTACAGCTTCAAAACTTGTTGGTAAAAACTCTACATTGAAAGTTACTGGTTGAAATCGTGGATTAATTTTCTGAAGGAAACATAAATATGTTTATGAATGACTTGTGCACATATTTTCGACTTGGGTTAGCCAATAAAAGCTTCCTACTAGTGACTCCGGGTTTTCTCATTCAAGAAGCTGGTTAGGTTAGCGTATAGGAAGATTGTATATTAATGTCAACCGTATGTAGATAGTACAATTCGACAATTTCCAAACACAAGATATGTTACTTTTGCTTGCGACTACTGGACCATTTAATCTCGATAAATATTTCTATGCAACTGGGGCAGTAGCATACAGTAAACATAATAACACAAAAATCATAGATAACTCATCGAAGGAAGTTAATATACTAATTAATTAATCAAATTTTTTTTAACAGACTAATTTTCACAAAGTGAAAAAACCGATTGAAAAAACCATACAACATACAAACCAAATATACGAAGGATATTTGATCTATAAAATTGAAAGGAAGTAAAAAAAGATTGAATTCAATTCTTATAACAGGATATAACGTTCCCACAATAGAGATTGTAAACCACATGTATATAGACATCGTCATATTATTTATGCAAGACAATAATCCCCTCGCACACACCACTGTTCAGAGAAAAGTAAGCAGAAGAGAGGGATAATAAATCGAAGACTCAACAGTTATGGATTGATTATTAATGTAAAGAGTTTATGAGAATTGTTGAATTTTATAGCTTACATCATGAACTAATCATAGTTAAACAATCAATAAAGACTAGCAAGTACTGGACAGTTATTTCGTCTTAGCACAGAAATACTTATCCACGACTCTACCGAAGGAAGAAGAACTCAAAACCTTCAAGATTCGTGCTCACTGGTGACTAATTTCGATAGGTAAATCCTGGAGTATTTAATGAGAAGCCGTTATCAGTGGAGTTCAACTATGTAGAGTGTAAAACAGTTACTCACTAATGAAACTGGAAAATGGTTGTGGAACAAGCAAGGTACTTGAAGTTAGGAATATAAACGATTGGATCCTTACTAAATGATCTAACGGTTAAGCGCTAGTCGAAAGATCTAAATGTCCCAAGTTAAGTATCCGGTGGAGTCGTAGATACTCAGTGATGAAGTGTACCATACTAGAACAATACAACCGTCTAGTGCTTTCTAACTTTAAGTGGTTATCTAAGCAAAGTCAATTCATGATGTTAACTATGAGACATGATCATTAAAAACATTTTAAATGTAGAACATAGAAAAAGAATATTCCTAAAATTTACCTTCATTAAATTAGATGAAATAACTTGAATATTGTTCATACTTTGTTTCCAGCAATCAGATGATGATAATGACGATTTTATGACATTATTGTTATTAAACGATGTTGTATTATAAGTGGATAGTGGAGGTGATTCAGAAGCATTACGTCTACGTTTACCGGAACAACATGATTGATGTGCTTTTGTAGTACCTGTTGTAATTGCTGAGAAAGTAGTTTGAGATGATGCTTGTGAACTAAGAATCGATGAACAAATTGTTGATGATGATGGCAAATTTGATTTATTACGTTTATTCTTATGATTAGTAGAAGTAGTAGTATGTGTTGCAGAAATCGACGCTTTTAAACGACGTTCAACATCTGGTAGGATTAATGCAGCAGTCAAATCTGAGATAACACGATGTGGGCAATTGAAATGACGTTGATTAAAATCATTCATTAAATTAATATTATTATAATTGTAATTAGAATTGGATAGTTTTTCATTAGCAATTGCAGATGACCATGTATGATGAATGAGATTTAATGGAATCCAACTACTATTACTACTACTTCCACCACTATTAGAATCATCTGATAGATTCGAACTACTTACATTTCTTTTATGAAGATTTTCTAATGAATTTAATCGTGAAACAGAATCAGTTACATTGAAATCAATCCAATCATCAATGGAATCATGTATACTGGATGTATCACATGGATTATAATTAACATTATAATCTTCATTGTTCTCCACACATTTTATTGGTATGTAATTATCGTTAATATTATTATTAGTATTATCAACAAATGAACAAGGCGACTCTGTGTTACATTCATAAGGAGCTGATAAAACTGAATTGGTTGCGCGACTACTTCTATTATTATTATTACTCGTAACAGGATCACCCCATAAACTTGCTCTATCTTCTTTAAGTAATTCAATCAATATATCATCAGGTATTAAGTCAAGGGCTGACAATAAATTCCGATTATCTGTCAAATCCACATGATCTGGTTAAATAATAAAATTAATCATAATAATAATGACAGAGAGAACTTGTCAAATGAAATATATACGATATCACTACCATTTATACAGATATATATATGTATACATAGAAATTCAACAAACAAACAAGTATTTGTATGATTGTCAATAAAGAGAGAGGGAAAAGATGAGACAGTAGTAGTATTAACTATTAAGTATAATGTGTACACTTAATAAATATTAAAGGTAAAGAGTTGAAATTTCTAAAGAATGACAACATAAAATATATCACACATTATTTCACTATTCAATATTATTACTGGGGATAATATTTTATACATCAATTCCAATTTACTCTATGAACAAAAAATATAACCTGATAGAAATGAATGATTAAATAAAGTGTATAAATTCATGTAAAAGATTTTGACTTGTAATCGCTATTTATTTGATAATTCAGTTAGTCATAAGCACGTATAGTCTGGTACAAGTGTTTATTGATCCAAACTTCTATATCAAATTAGCAAGACGAAATGAGATGAATACGATAAATAGTAGACAAATCAATATAATGTAGTACTAATGATAATGGGAAGGACTAAATATCGAGAGTACGGTTTGACAAGATAGAACCAGATGGTGTAATATATATACACTGGAATTCAAGATATAGAGCAAATGTATCTGTGCCACCGTGATTGATTTTGAACTAAGTCATCAGAAATGTCCAATCACCGATTGCGGTTATCACGCAAACCCCAACCAGGTAACTTGTATTTACTGAAATAGCTCAGACCATAAACTGACACCGTAGTTGGTTTGGCTGCGTCTAGATTTCTTTTAAATCAATTACACACTACGCAAAATCGCTCGTTAAGGTAAGCAATTAGACACATGTAACACGTATCCTAACCATTTCAATCGATAATGGTTCACTACTTCATCAACTAATTAGCTATCTTAACCTAGTAACCCGTATCTAACCTCAACACTACTCATACAGTTTTTCCTAGATACACGAGTAATGCTTCGAAAACATTTCATTAGAAAACTTAAGGCATATGCATATTTCCCACTTTCGGGGACCATGGTTAACATCTTTATCGTAATATAGAGTGGACTAATCTATAGTATGCTTGTTCTTTTGTTGGTAGAAGGATATTTTGCCTACAACACAGGTGAAGTAGTTTATCAAATACCAAACAGACTTTCTGAATCCGTGTCGAGAATTTGGTAAATATCAACACATCAGGACTGATAAGACTTTCAAACTAAGTGAATTAGCCAATGTGCTAAACTACCTTAAAGTTTGTTATTAGTTTAGGCATTTACACAGACCGGACTCTGAAGAAATTAACTTTTACTTATTATGTAGTGACTAGAAATATCAAAAGACTGAACGTTGTTAACAAAATTCAGTTAGTTAAGGATCATATACTAGCGACCCCATTGGGAATTGAACCCAAGACCTTTGAGATTCGTGGTATGCCGTCTCTTTATCCATCACTGAGTTGATGTCCAAAGGTTTATATTTCTAACTTCAGTCAACCCGCGAACCCTAGTGGGCTTGTGGGTTCGGATACTGATGGGGAGCCGCATACTAAAATGAAACATCTGTCCACTGATTTTTTTTCAGTAATCTATAATGTGGAATTTAAATCTAACAATCTTCACATCCTACAATTACAAATAACTATGTTCTTGGTAGGGTAGATGTTCCGATTGAACAGAATAAAAATAGTAAATTAATATACGAAATATTTACATGTCTAGAAAAAACTAGTACAACCAGCAACAAAAAAAACACACACTAGACAATAACAAGTATGCAAAATTCAATAATAATAATAGTAGCTAGACTAGTAATATCCCGATTTTTCTTTTCACAATGAAGAATTCCATTTATACAGTTAAATTTCACAACTCTATCTAGACATTATATGTATGAGAAAGTTCGTACATTCTTCCATTCATATTTATGTAAATAAATCAATTCAATTGGGAAATAGACAGAAAAAAATGTCAGTGCTAATATTGAATTCCAATAATGAATATGCAAAAAGGTAATTAGAATGATTATTATATTACACGTTTGAACACCAACATACACACATAGATTATTTATAACAAATGTAAATGCTGAAATCATTACAGTTTTGAAATTAAAATATACTTTGTTAAATTTCATAACTAACTTATCATTCTTTTGATGAATTTAAAATAAAAGTGAATATATTTGATAGTGTAGTGAACAAGAATACCAATGGGGACAATAGAATATATTGAGCACAACAATACAGAACATTTCACTAAAATATGAGAACCATACAGTAAATATGCAAAATATTAATCCATCATCTCAAACTTGACTGTTCCTTTTGCAGATATCAGTCCATCGTCTCAGATTTCATTGTTCATGCATTTTCATACCAATTGCTCTTCGTTTCCGTCCTTTCCCCCCTCGATCTCCACTGAAATGTATTCTATATCTGACCATTTTTATATACTACTTATGTGGATATAAGTAGCTCACACCACAATAGTACTATTGTAGTGAACGAAGTCTTGGTGGGAAAAACCAAATTAATTGTTTCATGCGAAATTATAAAGTGCCTTCGTAAAATATAAAAACCATACATTATTTGTACATCTTTTATATGTTTCACGGTTCATTCAACTCTGTTGTTATTATAATTGTTCTTTGTTTCCATTCCTGTTCTCTTCAATTGAATCTTATCAATCTTCTGCAGGGAGGCATTACACTTCCGATTGGTGCGACATACTACTTAAATCTGTTAACATGAGTAGCACACACCAGACTATTAGAGGGGTAATCCTTTAAACACTAGTTTTCATTGAACACAGTCAGTCATAAGTGACATATATAAAAATATAAACTAACCGTAAATCCCAACAATGAACCTTAATTATGACTGAAAGCTCCGACACTTACGACTTTATCACCAGTATAGAAGAATTCCTGAATTATGTAGAAACAATATATTCGTTGTAAACCCTATGATTTTTTGCATTACATTGTTACCTAACTACCTAAGGTTTCTTAATCTCCAATGATAACCTAATAGATATATTAGTTCATAATAAGAACAATTACTTATCAAGTAAACTATTGAAAACACACTGAATAGATTTGTTTCCTCTTTAAAAACAATTTGCAATCTCTAGTTAAATTTTCGATCATTATAGAAATCATTTAGCAAAAGGACAACAACCGTCTATGTGCAAATAAATTTATGTGACATCTTGCTTTTCATAGAAAGCAGTTGATTTTCGCTGACTAGTAGAATTTTAATGACAGAGTGACACTGATAAGTACTCAATACACATACATGTCCGTTGACTAGAAATAAGGTTACATTACTTAACTATAGAAAAGTACTCAAACATTCAGTTTTCATATAATAAGTCGTATATTTCACACTTTGCTCAACCAGTCATATATAAAACAAAATCTCAATACACGTGTATTGTGGAAATTACATAAACATATAATCTTCCATATTTGATTTATAAGTAATCATTCAGACAATAAATCAGCAATCAGAAAGCATCCGGAACTAAACACGTCCAATATTTTCATCAACACAGTAGATTAACGATTGTTCTACCGTCACATCATTCGCGCAGTTATTATCATAGTCCATATTTAAACATATGAAGTATTAAAACAGGAAACACTAATTAGTTGGGATGATAAACCAAAATATTTAAGCATCCAACATAAAATATAACTTGAAAAGTACGATTTAACACATAAAAATACAAAACCTGGAATTTAAGTGAATGAAATTTTACCAAAACAGACAGGTTTGAATAGACAACTTTGAACTACACATTTTTGTGTTAGATAGCTAGTGATACCGACGAGTAGGTTACTGGAACTCGACAACAGATCCTTTCACAGAATCGGTTGTGTACATCGGGACCATCGGGGGAACAACCTTTAAGTTAGATATAAAGTAGTGGGTAGATATGGCAAATCAGTTGATAAGGTAGGGAATTCTGATCGGTTAAAGTGGTTGTAATATGTATTACGTACGATCAACTGTTATATCCCGATGAGAATTATGAATGGTAAATTTTGAGAACTATTTATAGACAAATATTGTACTATACTCTTAATGTATAACTATTCAGTAGCTAGACTATGTATATCTATACTCCTCTCATTACAAGCTTTATTTTGACCCATAGACTATTAATATACGATTCGCCGTTCCTCAATTATGGCTCAGTCTATTAATTACAGTCTCCCACATTCACAGGCACTTTTGGCTAGAACTTGTATACATGTTATTTTCTAATTTATAGTACGATGTGGTCTAGTTGGTTGGATATAAACCCAGTATGTTTGAAATACATTATTGATATCGTGGAGTCTGGGATTAGTGTTCTGAACTTAACAGGCAGAGCTAGACAGGAATAAGAACTCTAGACTGCTCGTATGGGTCTATGCGTCATTTGTTCTGTCGATAAGTCACTGTTCTCTAATTGGCAGTATCATTAGGTTATATATTATTTGGTTTAATGCCATAAGTTACAACACCAACCACCGCCTAGCTCGAAGCGCGATGTTTCACCGGTGTATATTTTGTGCCTAATGCTTTGTCACTTTTAATATTATCGCCACTTCTACTACTCCGGCATCTCACTGTGGTGATGTAGTGTGGCAACTTGTACTAAGGTACATATGTGCTAGTTTTTACATTACTTATGACATTGACTGGTACCAATCGGTCGTATAAATAGAAGTAGGTGGAACAGGGTCCGAGGCAAGAACTGTACGGTGGAAATTAAAATGGATTAACCAGTAGCCCAAATGATACATTCATAAATACGTAATGAATACATTTTAACAAACCAGTAGAATATACACAATAATAAGCGCTAAATGAAGTCTGTCAATGAGTGAAAAACAATATGAAGGCTTAATTAATACTGAGACGAAAAAATACATTTTATTGAACTCTTAAGATAGACAGAGATATCAGCTGACTAACAATACTCTGTTTAACGTAACATTGATGTACGAAAATGTATATAATTGACATAACATAAACTTGTAAAGAGAATAAATAAAACAGTTTACCTGTTTCAGTAGTCCCAACATTGGTAAAATTATTTGAAACATCATTCACATTATCGTCAGTATCAGATTTAAGAGCTTCCGATAATGTAGTTATTGAACCTTCATGACTGGGGAATAGTGGAGAACTTGGGAACACAGAGAAATGCTGTTGTGGTTGCTGCTGTCTTTGCTGATGATGTTGGTGGGGACAATAATGACTGAAACCGTTTAAATCTGAGGGCACAGAGACAATGGACGCAGATTGTTGATGGTTTAGTAACATAGATTCAGTGGAGTTATCAAACGATGAGGTATGATTAGAAGGAATTAGATCTACTGCCGTGGGTGTTGCCGCCACAGCTGTAACTAGTGTTGCCTCTGAATGAATATTATCTGAATCGGGTGATTTTTCATAAGTGCCTGAAAGGTTATTCCCTCCAACTACTAAATTGGGTTGAATATTAATTAGTGATACATGATAATTGTCACATGCTGAAGACTGGGACAATGTAGTAGTAGTGTAATCTGTTAAACAGTGAGTTGTTTGTCCATACGAAAGATTTGATGATAATGAATGCGATGATGTGTCAACACAATTGTCTATTAATGACTGCACAATAGGTGTAGATGTTACAACCACTGGTGTTGATGTAACTGTTGTCATAGCTGTGGGTGATAATATTTTTGTTCCGATAGTTGTTGTTAAAGAGGATGGATTGAATAGTTCAGTTAAATCACCTGGAAGATGGCCATGGAGATGCCCAGTGAAATGAGCTTGAAATGATGCTTCATCAGAACAAATAATTTGACAATCTTTAAGTGGACAAGCAAAAATTAACCGCACAAGCTGATGTTGAACTTGAAAAATAAAAATAATCATAAAAATAGTATGAATTACGCTTTGAAAAAATATTACTGGTTGTTTACAAACTGTTCATTAAGAAAAAGACTTTAATAAGGGCTTTGTGTTGATGTTTAGCTTGGATAATAACTGACTAAACAAATTGATATATCCGTGTTTGCGCTAACAGATTACCGTAGAATTATATTTTAAACTAACAATGCTAGGTACTTTCTGAGGCATGTGAATCAATCGACCCACTAGATTAATACGACCAACACACGAATATACGATCTGAATTCGTGGAAGAACTTCTTATACTACTAGCAATAAGTGGAACTGGATTGAATTCATCAAATCTTTATCAGGCTACTTACAGTTTACCTCACTAGTTAACCTTAGTAATATCAAAATTGAGAATCAGAGTGTACTGAGCCGTAGTTTCATCCTAATGCAGGACACCTTAGCAGTGGGCATTTATAGACTCCATTAATCCCTTACAGTAATAACAATCATGTGCCTACTAGTGACTGATTTTAGTAAAAGGCCATTACCAGTACGGTTCAACCACGTTGAGAGTGAGACAATTAACTACTGACAGCAGTGGAAGATTTTCGTGTAATGTCGCGAGCTGATTGAATTGAGAAATGTAAACCGATGGATGCCAACTCATTGTTTTACAGATTATGAGGTAGCTGTGGGATCTGGAGGTCCAATGTTCGACCTCTGATGGAGCCATAGATAAGTATTGCTGAGGAATCCTCTACTATGATAAAACATTTTTCATGCTGTGACAGAACTAAAGTAATTTTGCTTAATTATTCACAGGCTAGTAAAATTAATTAATAAAGATTTGTAATTTTCTATTGTTGATATTCCTGAGTGTGAAAGTAACGGGTTTGAGTCTCAGTGAGGAAAGGATGTACCAGGTACATTTGGTTGATGAGTCCCAAACAAGGTAAGACCAGCCTCTTCCAGGAATTATTATCCAACATTAAAACACAACTAACTTTATTGCATAATGTATGAAATTTAGCACCAAATATACACTGACTTCAGATACATCATCGAGGTATAGCATTTATACACTGGTAGTTAAGAAACAAACTGAAAAAGCTATAATAACAAAAACCTAGAAAAATTTCGTACAACTTACTTTCCGGAAAATGAATACTTGTTAAGTGAGCAGATAAATCAGCTCTACCTGAACATAAATAGGTGCAATTATCAACTGGACAATAGACACAATCGGTTTTTGAACAACTCAACGCATGCACACCACTTATCCATTCACGTTGTTTAGTTTTACATAAATTCCAATCAACAATATGTCCACAACTTGGACATTTATTACTTAAATTATCATTATTATTATCATGATGATTATTGTCAATGTTATCACTATTCATATTTAATACTTGTCGAGGATCATGACCAGTACTTAATGTACGTCGTCGACAATTATCTATTTTGCAAACTTTTTGTTTATTCACCGTAGTTATATAAGATGTTGACAGATTTGACAGTGCTGATAATTGATGTTTACATTGAATTGTTATATCAGATGGATTTATTGAATTAATTGTATTTTAATAATCGGTAAATCATTATGACTACCACCGCTGACTGATCGTAATCTAGGTTGTTTTCTGAATGGTTGTTTCATTAATACCGGAAGTTTTGTTTCATTTGTTAATGAATGTATAGTAACATCATTTGAATTGGTACTGTCCATATCTACTGAAATCGGGAAATTATTGGAACATATATCTGTGTTTAGATCTAATAGGATATGAAAAAAAGGTTTATTTTATAGACATAATAAATAAATCGAAGTTAAAATGAATACTACTATTATTGTTAAATTAATACTAGGTTGCCCAAACAGAAGTAGTTGGAGAGAAATTTGAAGCCATGAATTAATGGGTGAAAGTCAAACACTTCAACCACTGATTCACCGAGTATTTGTGGTTAGATCGTTCAAATACTTCTTACTTGATAAAATTCTCAGAGCCTATGAATCTTTTATTACTGTCACAGTTGAAGATATCTTTGTCTAACTATTTTGTGAATATTCTAATGTGCCAATTACCGCCTTGTTTTAAAGATAATTAAAAATTGTTTACTCAAATAAGATTTATTAGTAAGTCAAACAAAACTTTTTCTAATTAAGTTAAAATGTTTATTTCTAGATCTGCTGGGGTTAAGAAAAAAAACGTTTACGTTCACTTCTATATGACAGTCAGTGTGCTAAGGGTACCCACTTATGCTAGATAGACATCATGATTCAATTACACCAAAATATTTTCCCTATTGAGTTCGTGTGTTATAAAACCAGTACAATCAAAGGTCTTGAATATCTGCTTCTAAATTTCTGTATGGCAAAGTTTTGATTTTCATCTGCGATTTGTTTATACATAATCACGTTTATACACCTTAGCTGCACAGTACTACACCTAATCTATCATTTGCTAAACACTGGTAGTTCATGTACCTGGTTATCAGAGAGACATTTATTGTAAAGCCTAGTTATAATGTTCAGCTCCCGAAACTGAAGTAGGGGCGAAAGTACCAAGCAATCGTTGCAAGGTTCTTACTTAAATGGCATTTAGTCCTCTATAACACTTTGGATTAACTACACCAACTAGTCACCAGTTGATAACTAATGTCATAATGTGCATATATGTAGTGCTGACTAAATTGATGTATCAGTCAAGTGCTTTAATCTCATTAACATTTCAATGTATCTTTTAATCGTTATGTGTAAATAGATTTTAATAATATTCACTTTTGTATTTAGCATTTTCCATAGAAAACATTTCGACTTAGAAGAAAATTATTATTCTGATAAATAATTTGTTTACTATTTCAACTTATCTAGGGATTGGAAGGATCAATAATTCCTATACGGAACTTGATTAGCTTATCAATAATCAGATCTTTTGATCAGTTATCATTGTATAACATCGTATTAAATCATTAAATTTATCTACTGATCAGCAATTTTATTATAATCACAATCTTAAACGTTTCACATTATCTAATAAAAATCCTACATTATAACAAAACTATTGAATATGCCAAATATGAATTCACTATATGATTCAATTTTAAATAGAGTATCAATAATGAATAGTAAAAAAGTAGAACAGGAATTCATGTCAACACAAAGAATGAACAAGATTTGAAAATATTTCTTAATGTAACATAATATTCACCAATTATCATCTGTAAAGTTACTTAAAACGCGCATGCGCGTATGTGTGTGAGAGAGAGAGAGAGAGAGTAGGAAACTAAAGGAAACCAAAACAAACAAATTAATTCATTTGCTTAACAACAACAACAAAATCACATGGCTCTATATCTAAGCAACAACAGTAATAATACTGTTCAATCTGAAAATTACGAGAAAGAAAACAGCAACAATATAAGTAAAAACAAACTAGTAGGTAGTGTAGTAGTACAAGGCAAATAGGCGGGAGTTAATTTTTATTGTGACAAATTACAAAGTGTTCATATAGCCTTCGATCATTCATTTGTATCTTGTAGTTTGTTCTACATATCTACTTACAAGCAATCTTGTGAGCAGTGTCCACCACAGAAGAAGTAGTGTAGTGGACGCTACTTATAAAATTAAATGTAAATAGTATGTTTCGGAACGTGGTGTCGAAATCGTCGAACTGAATGAAGAGTTCAAGTAGAGTGAAAGCACGTCGTAGGCAGGACACTTGGAGATCAGATGAGAAGACAGTTCAGATTACAGAATGCACCGACATATGCTAATGGATGATTGAAGGCTATGTTTATGTATTATGTAAACGCTTTGTAACTCCGCACAATAAATATATACCTTCAGCCTACTGCCCTATTTTACAGTAGTAGTAGGGGTTGTAGGAGACATCAAATAGACTGGTTACAATGAAAAATCTATTGTGATAGGCTGTTCTTCTTTCTCTTCAAAAATAAAAAAGACAACTATTCGTCGACATTATTATTATTAATAAATAACGAGTGCAACAAATCTTAGCTATAAAGATTGTTGAATGGCGGGAGAAAGTGGTCAATTCAAAACAAACAAAGAATATTTCTTTATTATACGAGCAAAACAATTGTTTGAGTAATCTAACAATCATATATATAGAGTGATTCGCTCGAACCCATATGTGCCAACAGACACAGATCAATTAGAGTGAATATCAACAAAGTGAAAATGTATACAATTACAAATAAAATTCATATCTCTGAGAAAGCCAGTGTTTATATGGGCTTAGGAACTTAATAGAAAACGCGTTGAATGTTTGAAGCAAAATGTACACCCCGGTATGAACATCAACAATGCAATATGACACGTACAAGAAACAGTTGACGAGCCTTAAGTAGAATGGGCAGTGACCATCTACCTTCCCAAGTGGCGAATATATCTATATTTATGCTTTTGGGATACATGCGAGAAAACTCATGTGTTATCGGTATGCATGTAGATTATACTTGCGCCTAGTATGACACGTGAACGCCAGAGTCTGGTGGCAACGATTTCCCCTAACAATTATGCGGTGGGTTTGCGAGCCGTGCAAAGTGGAATCCATTTCCAGAAAAGTCCATCGGTTTCATCGGATAAAGTTTGACCAGCCTTAACACGGCTGGAATACTGTACTACAAGCTAATATTTAATTTTAATAATCACTAACATTGTCTCTAAGCACAATCAAACTGGCAAGGAGCTTTCAGTAAAGAATTTGGGACGCTTTACACTTATATTCTTTGTAGTGCAGATTAGTTACATAGATGAGAAACAACCTTAGTATCGATGGAATTTATGATGTCTTACATTTGAGAATTTTTTGTCAAGTTACGTAGATAATAATGTTATCAAAAAGGTCATTTGAACAGTATTTTCACACCTACAAAAAGGTTTTATACATAAATAATTATGGAAAGAAAATTCCATTCTCAACGGACTATTTATTTCATCCCCTAACCGTCGTGACATTTAGTTAATATAAAATATTGGTATATGCTTTTTATTGTTTATTAATGGATGTACAGGATAAACACATATGTTTCTTTAATGAGTGCAGGACTCACACATACCAAATCTATAGTTCATATTATAGAGATAAATCTGAACTGTAATTAATTTTTTTTTACCAGAATAGGGTTTTGTGAAGATTGTAGAATCTTCATAAATTAGATCATGAACTGATCTTAATTAGAGAACCATTAAAAACCAGGAGCACTGGAGAGCTGTTTCATCATGGGATGGAACTCTTCAGCAGTTTAAATCTACTACTCTAAAACTAGGATATGAATCCAGGACTTTCGATCTCGCGCGTAAGTGTTTACATTTTAGATCACTGACCAGGACTCCAGTAGTAAAATAGTACAAGTTTAATTAATTCACAATACTGTGCGAGGATATTAGAAAAAACTGAATTAATCGACACTATTGTGACTAAGTTCGAGTTGGGATCAGATCTAGTGTAGTAGACGAGAACACAAGTGGGGACAATCGAATGTATGTGAGTACAAAATTACAGAACATCTTAGTAAAATCTGAGAACAATACAGTAAATACTTCATTTTCAAAATATCAGTCAATCGTCTCAGACTTCAATGTCCCTTCATTTCCACAAAAACCATTCTCTGTTCTCATTCTCTTTTCTTCGATTCTCTTCTGCCTCCAAGTACTTCACTTTCGATTGATGATGCATACTACTTATATCTATCGACATAAGTAGCACACACCACACTAGGATACTAAGTAAGAAACAAGTTCATTGACGTGTGAAGTATGTCCTAACCACTTCTTGTCATGATGTGTGTTATAACTTTTGGTGTTGTGCCCCTTAATATACAGCTAATGATACTGCGAATTAGAGAACAGTGACTTATCGACAGAACAAATGACACATAGACTCATACGAGCAGTCTAGAGTTCATATCCCTCCTTCATCCTGCCTAGCTCTGCCTGTTAAGTTCAGAACACTAATCCCAGACTCCACGATATCAATAATGTATTTCAAACATACTGGGTTTATATCCAACCAACTAGACCACATCGTACTATAAATTAGAAAATAACATGTATACAAGTTCTAGCCAAAGGTGCCTGTGAATGTGGGAGACTGTAATTAATAGACTGAGCCATAATTGAGGAACGGCGAATCGTATATTAATAGTCTATGGGTCAAAATAAAGCTTGTAATGAGAGGAGTATAGATATACATAGTCTAGCTACTGAATAGTTATACATTAAGAGTATAGTATAATATTTGTCTATAAATAGTTCTCAAAATTTACCATTCATAATTCTCATCGGGATATAACAATGTACAACACTGACAAATATAGAGTAGATTGAGATCGTTGAAATGGATAGATTGAGATAACTTATCAATCCATGATGTTAATAGTTGCTAGTCTAAACTATATCGACTTCCAGATTAGAGCTCGCATCAATATTTGAAATGAACAGTCTGAGATATTTGATAACATGGCACAAACACGATCACCGTGGAGCAATCAATTAAATGATATAATACGTTACTATATTTTGGTTGATGTTGATTATTCGTAGTTAAGCAAATTTTTGGCGTCTGAGTTTCCAATGAATTTAAACATAATAGCAAAGTAAATTAAGATTTTTATGTCAGAACATGAATTATATGAGCTGTTCACCGTGTATACGGAACGAGCTACTGTCGTTTTTCGCGAAAGTTGGGAAGAACTCTCAAAAAGCTCAGATATTGAAGATTATTTATGAAGATAATACACTTCAAAAA